ATGTTGAAGTGGGGTAATTTGTACAAAATAAAAAATATTGATTTTACGTATGTGCAAAATTTTGCAATGGAGGGCGGGTTATGTGGCCGGTTGCTGGCTGACGCAGTCTCTCGGTTTCTGCAGTGGCCCCCGGGGAAGGTGGGGACGACGGTGACAGCGGCAACGACAGCAAGAGTGGCGGCGAGGAGACCAGCGTGTGTGACAAGTGCTGTGCCGAGTTCTTCAAGTGGACGGACTTCCTGCGGCACAAGAAGAGCTGCACGAAAAACCCGCTGGTGCTGATCGTCAACGAAGATGAGCCGGCACCAGCCGCGGAAGAGTTTCCAGAACCTTCTCCAGCCAGCTCTCCCAGTGAGCAGACGGAGAGCGAGGCTGCTGAGGAGGCGGCCCCCCCAGAGAGCGGGGAGGGCAGCGAGGTGAGGCCCCCTGAGAAGGAGGAGGAGCCCATGGACGTGGAGTCCACCGTGGGCGACAAGAGCTTCCAGAGCCCAGGCCCCTCGCTCCCCGGGAAGCCGCCTCTACCTCAGGCCCCCGAGCCGGCGCCCGTGCCCACGTACAGCATGCCAAGCACCAATGTGACACTGGAGACCCTGCTGAGCACTAAGGTGGCTGTGGCTCAGTTCTCCCAGAATGCAAGAGCTGCAGGTGCGGTTGGCTCCAGCAGCGGGGTGACGGCGGTGGCAGTCCCCATGATCCTGGAGCAGCTGATGGCCTTGCAGCAGCAACAGATCCACCAGCTGCAGCTCATCGAGCAGATCCGCAGCCAGGTGGCCATGATGAGCCGCCAGCCCCTGAGGCCGTCGCTGAACCCTGGGGCCACAGCGGGGGCCCAGGGCGCCCCTGTTCCCGCCTCCAGCCAGCTCCCAGGGCTGGCCACACACTCCTCCCTGCAGCTGTCCACCGGGGCTGCCCATGTCCTCACGGCACCAGGCCCTGCTGCCCAGTCCACAGCCTATGAGGGCGCCCAGCCACTGTCACAGCCAGCATCTGGGGCGAGCACCCCCCACATCCCCAGCGGGGGCCCCTCGGTCCCTGAGTCAAGCGGGCCGGCATCCTCCAGCGTGGCCTCTGCCTGCGCTGCCCCAGCCTCGGTGGCCAGTGCCTCCAGCAGCACCTCGCAGCCACAGAAAGCTCCCACGCCGCCCACCCTGGGGCCCAGCACATTGCTCAGCTCGGCGCCCAGCCTGCCAAACCCTCTTCTACCTCAGACCTCCGCCAGCAGCGTCATCTTCCCCAACCCGCTGGTCAGCATCGCGGCCACGGCCAACGCGCTGGACCCCCTGTCGGCCCTCATGAAGCATCGCAAGGGCAAGCCCCCCAACGTGTCGGTGTTCGAGCCCAAGGCCAGCGCCGAGGACCCGTTCTTCAAGCACAAGTGCAGGTTCTGTGCCAAGGTGTTCGGGAGTGACAGCGCTCTGCAGATCCACCTGCGCTCCCACACGGGCGAGCGGCCCTTCAAGTGCAACATCTGCGGCAACCGCTTCTCCACCAAGGGCAACCTGAAGGTGCACTTCCAGAGGCACAAGGAGAAGTACCCCCACATCCAGATGAACCCCTACCCCGTGCCCGAGTACCTGGACAATGTGCCCACCTGCTCCGGGATTCCCTATGGCATGTCACTGCCCCCAGAAAAGCCAGTCACCACCTGGCTAGACAGTAAGCCCGTGCTGCCTACGGTGCCCACGTCGGTGGGGCTGCAGCTGCCGCCTACCATCCCAGGTGTTGGCAGCTACGCCGACTCCCCCAGCCTCACCCCTGCAAGCCGCTCCCCACAGCGGCCCTCGCCTGCGTCCAGCGAATGCCCCTCTCTGTCCCCCGGCCTCAATACCTCTGAGTCGGGTGCCCCAGTGACCGCCGAGTCCCCACAGCCTGTGCTCAGTGGGTCCTCTCTGACCAAAACCGAGCCTGTGAGCCTGCCTTGTGCAAATGCCAGGGTGGGGGACATCCCTTCCAGCGGGCAGGTCTCGGCCACATCCACATCGGCCGCCACCACCCTCACGGACAACAGCATCTCCACTGGCCTCTGCAGCCCGGTCCTCGTGGCCAGCTCTGACCAGTTCAAGGCCAAGTTTCCCTTCGGAGGGCTGCTCGACTCCATGCAGACGTCGGAGACGTCCAAGTTGCAGCAGCTGGTGGAGAACATCGACAAGAAGATGACCGACCCCAACCAGTGCGTCATCTGCCATCGGGTGCTGAGCTGCCAGAGCGCCCTCAAGATGCACTACCGCACACACACCGGGGAGCGGCCCTTCAAGTGCAAGATCTGCGGGCGCGCCTTCACCACCAAGGGCAACCTGAAGACACACTTCGGGGTGCACCGGGCGAAGCCGCCGCTGCGCGTGCAGCACTCCTGCCCCATCTGCCAGAAGAAGTTCACCAACGCCGTGGTCCTGCAGCAGCACATCCGCATGCACATGGGCGGGCAGATCCCCAACACGCTGCTGCCCGAGGGCCTGCAGGACGCCATGGACGCCGAGCTTCCCTACGACGACAAGGCTGCCGAGGTCCTGAGCAGCTTCGAGGACGACGTGGATGAGAACTCCATGGAGGAGGACGTGGAGCTGAAGGACGCAGCCAGCGACCCGTCCAAGCCGCTGCTGCCCTACTCGGGCTCCTGCCCGCCCTCGCCCCCGTCTGTCATCTCCAGCATTGCCGCGCTGGAGAACCAGATGAAGATGATGGACTCTGTCATGAGCTGCCCGCAGCTGACTGCCTTGAAGGCCATGGAGAACGGGTCCGGGGACAGCGACCGCCTCAGCAATGACTCCTCGTCCGCAGTGGGCGACTTGGAGAGCCGCAGTGCGGGCAGCCCGGCCCTGTCCGAATCGTCGTCCTCCATGCAGGCCCTGTCCCCAGTCCACAGCCACAGCGAGAGCCTGCCCTCCAAGTCCCCAGGCCTCAGCAACCATGAGGAGCCACAGGACATTCCGCTAAAGACGGAAAGGCCGGACAGTCCACCCCCTGCCCCCGAAAATGGAGGCGCGCTGGACCTGACGTCCGCCCCCCCTGGCCGGCTGGCCATCAAGGAGGAGGCCCCCTTTAGCCTGCTGTTCCTGAGCAGAGATCGGGGTAAGTGTGAGCGCACCATGTGTCGTGTCTGTGGCAAGCCTTTTGCTTGCAGGAGTGCGTTGCAAATCCACCACCGCAGCCACACTAAGGAGCGCCCATTCATCTGCGCGGTCTGCGGGCGCGGGTGCTCCACTATGGGTAATTTAAAACAGCACTTACTGACCCACAAATTGAAAGAGCTGCCTTCTCCGTTATTTGACCCCAACTTTGCTCTAGGTCCCAGCCAAAGCGCGCCTAGCCTGGTCACCGGCTCCGCGCCTGCCATGATCAAAATGGAGGTGAATGGGCACAGCAAAGCCATCACGCTGGGTGAGGGCCCACCACTGCCGGCCGCCGTCCAGGTGCCCACCGGGCCGCAGGCGGTGATGAGCCCCGGCCTTGCGCCCATGCTGGCCCCCCCGCCACGCCGGACACCCAAGCAGCACAACTGCCAGTCGTGTGGGAAGACCTTCTCCTCCGCCAGCGCCCTGCAGATCCACGAGCGCACCCACACCGGGGAGAAGCCGTTTGGCTGCACCATCTGCGGGAGAGCCTTCACCACCAAGGGCAACCTCAAGGTGAGGGAACAGGCTGGGGTCCCCCTGAGCCCTGGGGTCACCAGGGATGCCCTCCACTCCCAGAGGTGTGGCAGGTGGGGCTGCCGTTGGCCACGGGGAGGCGCTGCTGGAGAGCCCACGCAAAACAATATGTGAGCGCCTGTGGTGTGTGCACACATGCAGAGTGTGAGTGTGGGTGGGTGTGTGCATGTGTGGGTGGCTGTGCACGTGTGGGTCAGGGTGTGCATGTATATGCACGAGTATGCAGTGTGTGTACACATCTGTAGTGTGTGCCTTGCATGTATATAATGTGTATGTGGGAGAGTGCATGTGTGTAGTGTGCACATGTATAGTATGTGTGTACTGTGTGGTGTCTGCATGTGTGCGTGTGCCGTCTGCATACGTGTGTGTGCCATGCGTGCACTCAGGTGCACATGCTCACAGTTATGGATGTGTGCATGCTGTTCGACTGTAGAGCATCTCCCCTCCCCTTGGGGGCTCGTGCAGCCTCTGCAGCGTGGCAGCCTGTTGGGGTGATGGACACCTGTATCAGGTGGGCAGGCCCAGGCCCCAGCTGTCTAGAATCTTGTGGAACGCTGATGGCAAGACAAGCTGGGCTTTAAACATCTCCCCGTGATACAATTGATGCACTTCCTGCCCCAGGCCAGAAGCTGGTCCTGTTGTTTGTCCTGTGGCTGCTGAGGGGGCCGTGGTCATTTGGTGAGAAGTGCCTAGCCCAAGGCCAGAGCAAAGAGCTGGTGCTGTGTGCATAGCTCAGTTCCAGCCTTTCGTCCTCGTTCCCCAGGAAGTAGTGTGTGGCAGGCACTAGGTGACACGTGCGGCCAGTGTCCCACTCTCAGCTAAATGTGCTGCCCTCCGGCCATGCCAGGCACCTGCTGGGGTCTTGGTGACCTCTTCAGAGACTGAAAAGGTTAATTCCTGTGGCTTCTACTTACTGAGGTCTCTGCTGACCAGAAATGCCCAGGATGCTTCCTCTGTGTTTGGGAGGGAGGCAGGGTGGAGCCAAGAGTTTCACATATGAGAAGACTTAATGGGGCAGGGAGAGGCCCCCTATGCCAGGCTCAGGAGCCAAGAGGCCCTGAGCTTTGGAACATCCTCTGGGGGTCTTCATCTCACACCTTGGAGAGGGGAAGGTGTTCTATCAAGTTCGTCAAGTGGAAGAAACATTAACCCCTAGAGTGCCGGGGAGCGCAGTCGCGCTCCTCCTGTCTTTCGCCAAAAGTGCTGGGAGCGCTATCGCGCTCCTCCTGCAGTGTCACTATTAGATGCTAGTAGTTCACTCTTTACTGACAGATGGCACCTAAGTGCAGATTACTTATATATCAAAGATGAAAACAAATGTAGTAAAGGTTTCCTTAAGTTTTTGAATATGTAACTTCATTTACTTGCGATTCATCATTTTTTTCCTAAACTGCTGTAAAATCAGCAAAAATGCCTTGGCAATTTTAGCATAGTTCCTAGGATATGGTTTGCACTCAAAGGGTTAATGCATTGGCTGGTTTTGCTTTTTGTATTGAATAAAAATAAATCATATCCTATATAATAAAAGGCTAATATGCAAATCGACTGGCGAAACAACCAGTCGCTATGACGCGCACTGACCACAGGCGGAGCGCTGCTCAGCCAGAAGCCGGGCTCACGGCTGGTGAGCGCAGTGGCAGTGGCAGGAGCCTCTCCTGCCTCCGTAGCAACGCTAAGGATGTCCGACTGACGGCTCCTGGCCTGTGAGAGGGCGCAGGCCGGGCTGAGGGAAACCGCCCACTCCCCCACACCCTGGGTGCACGAATTTCGTGAACCGGGCCTCTAGTTGAAGCATAAGATGCTCAGAAAAGTTTGCTTCCTATGGACTGGCTGACTAGTAGGATGAGAACGGAAATGGAAACAAGTTCTGAGTGAGTCGCGCATGTGTGGATGGCAGTGGGGCGCATGCATCCACAGGCACACTGCCTCGTGCCGCTTGCTCACTGATTGTCGCCCTGTCTCCCACGCAGGTGCACATGGGCACACACATGTGGAACAACGCCCCTGCGAGGCGGGGCCGCCGCCTGTCGGTGGAAAACCCCATGGCTCTGCTGGGGGGCGATGCCCTGAAGTTCTCGGAAATGTTTCAGAAGGACCTGGCAGCGCGTGCCATGAACGTGGACCCCAGTTTCTGGAATCAGTATGCGGCGGCCATCACCAACGGTCTGGCCATGAAGAACAACGAGATTTCCGTCATCCAGAACGGGGGCATCCCCCAGCTCCCGGTGAGTCTGGGGGGGAGCGCCATGCCCCCTGTGGGCTCCCTGGCTGCCGGCATGGACAAGGCTCGCACGGGCAGCAGCCCACCCATGGTGGGCCTGGACAAAGCCAGCTCCGACACGGGGGCCAGCCGGCCGTTCACGAGGTTTATCGAGGACAACAAGGAGATCGGGATTAACTAGCCTGTGCCAGGCAGCTCATCTGCCGTTCTGTCCCTCCTACACACTGTGATGTGTGACCGTCAGGTACACACCTGCCGTACCCGGGTTCTCCTTAAAATTGTCCCCATGGCAGAAAATTCGTTAGCTGTGTGGCTGCTGGAAGGTCGTCTCGTAAGCGCTGCATGGTCCTTTCTCAGTGAGCTTGACTGTTCTTGAGAATTCTTCAACCTTTTAAATAAACATAAATCAAAAGTCCCTGGAAAACCGCCTTGGGAACAGAAAGGGCTCCGAGCACATCCGCTTCGTTTCTCCTGAAACCTAATAATCCCGGGAGGGAACCGGGGGGTCCCCTGCGGTGTTCCAGCGACGCTCATTCAACATAGACATTGAACTCCGTTTTTAGAACTCTTATCCTAAAGACGTGGTCCCGTCCTCCCAACATCGTGTCTTATGACTGTACCTTTGTCTGTAGTATTTATAATGTTACGATTATGCGGGTAACAGACATGCAGCCCCAACTTGAAAGGTAGCTTTCGTACTGCAGAATACATCTGGCAGTGTGATTTTTTTTTTTTTTTTGAAAGCAAGATTTGTTTTACTATAAATAAGTGGGTTATTTCAATGCAGGCAACATTGTGAAGTTCCACTGGGAAAGATAGCATGCTTTTTTGTGTGCAAGTACCTGTCAGTAACAAGCCTTTTTTATTTTTATTTAAATGTTTGTAGCTGCTATGTGGACAGTTGTTCTCTAGTGTGGTCTGTGGCCCAGCGACTGGGAACCAGTTACAGACGAGCGTCACCGTAAATTATTCACAACATTATAAACCGTTGTGAGTAAATATTTCACGTATCAAATCTGTACAATAAAGAGGTAATGTTTGTATAATGTGGTTGCAAACTCTTAATTTATACTGTTGCACTTTTAGTATTTTGTATTAGGGAGGTTTGTCTATAATTTGAAGATTTAAAAAGATGTAAAGTATTTTATAAATAGTACTTTGATTTAAGGAAAATGGGGGGGAAAAAACTTATTGTTTCTTGTTTTAAGGTCAGACAACATGAGAAATCAATGCTACTTAAAACAGAAAAGCCACCCGGACCTCTCAGTTCCGCAGTAATATAGGGCCTGCCATTTCTTCAGTTAAAATGACTTACTTAACTTTTCTACAAAGCGCATTTAAGAACTTGACCCCCTCTAACGAAACTTTGATGAATTCATCTTAGGAAGGGACAACCGAGGGAGCCAGGAGCTAAGAGGAGGCTGTGTAGGTACAATCTTACTGTTGTCTCTATCTCTGTCTTACACACCCACAAGGGAGCCCTGCCTGCCGTGAGCACTGGTCCTCGTGTCCGTAAACTGGGGAGAAATACCTGTCTGGCAGGATAATCAGTCATAACTGGGAAATTCGCTCCATTCCTGGTGGATTTGTTACCTCCTCAGATGAAAACAAAGCACAATGTCATCCGATGACTCAGAACACCAGTTTAAGCTGGTGACTTCCTTGCCTGAGTGAGGACCCGCCCTGCAGCCAGGTGGGTGGGTG